GGCTTGCAGCAGTTACTTTAAAGCCATGTTCACAGCCGATATGAAAGAGAAATCTAAAAACCAGATCAGACTTCCCGGGCTGAGCCATGCCGTACTGGAATCCCTGGTGAATTATGCATACACATCGCAGATCCAGATAACAAAGAGAAACGTCCAAAGCCTGCTCCAGGCTGCAGACCTCCTCCAGTTCGTGTCAGTAAAGAAAGCCTGTGAGCAGTTTCTGGTGAGGCACCTAGATACTGACAACTGCATAGGGATGCACTCCTTCGCTGAATATCACGACTGCTCGGAGCTAGAAAAAGAGTCCAGGAGGATATTGTTAGGGCAGTTTGAAGACGTGTGGAAGCAGGAAGAGTTTCTGGACATTGGCAAGGAGAAGCTCTCTCATATTCTCTCCAGAGAGAATCTCAACATTTGGAATGAAGAGACAGCCATTGAAGCTGTCATTAAGTGGGTTGCACACAATGTGGAAGAAAGAATTGAAGACATCTATGAACTGCTGAGCTGCATCAAAGTAGACTTAGATAACATGTATCTGAGGTCAGCTTTAAGCCTGCAAAAAAAACACCGACTTAATGACAGTAAGATAAGGTCAGTCATACACAGTGCCCTGAACCTCAGTCCCAAAGGTCTTTCCAGAAGACCCACAGCGGCCATGCATGTGATCGGAGGATATTATTGGCATCCTTTATCAGAAGTGCATGTTTGGGACCCTTTAACCAACGCATGGATCCAGGGAAGAGAGATGCCGGATCACACCAGAGAGAGCTATGGGGTCACTAGCTTGGGACCGGACATATATGTGACAGGAGGTTATAGAACAGAGAGCATCGAAGCCCTTGACACCGTGTGGATATATAACAGTGAGAGAGATGAATGGACAGAAGGTTGCCCCATGCTTGACGCAAGGTACTACCACTGCGTCGTTTCCTTGAGTGGCTGCATCTATGCACTGGGTGGTTACCGGAAGGGAGCTCCAGTGCAAGAAGCTGAGTTCTATGATCCTTTAAAAAAGAAATGGCTTCCTATTGCAAACATGATCAAAGGTAGGTAAGCTTTTGCATGGCATCTGCCTCAAATGTTGATCCTTTTGCATTTGCCACTTTTAAGTGCCATGGACACGTGTAGAGTTTCATCCAAGTTCTAGTGAAGTCCATGGGAATCTCCTGTTAATGTTCATGGGCTTTGGTGCAGGTCTTTACTAGCCAAATGACTGCGAACACCCAAACGCCGTGCTGAGCTGTGCCACAGAATGCTAGGGTGGAACAGCAAGCGGTAGTGTCAGTTTAATTTTGCCTTTTTTGAGGAGTAAAATTTCTGTTCAAATTAGAAGGAAATCGGAGAACTACATGGGATTAGTCTCCATTCAGTAGATGGTCAAAGAGCAAGCTCCAGTAAAGGGATTGTATTACTTTAGTATAAGACCAGATTACTAAGACCTTCTGTACAATCATTTATAAAGGTGTCATCTTCATGGAAAACTTCTTGCATGCAGTTTCCTCATATATCAGTGTGCCATCTGTTCAGGATCCTAAGTTTAATCTTTAGTGTGAGGATAATGAAAAGCACAAATACCTGTTTCTAGCGGCCAAAATAGTGATCTATTAAAAACATACAAATTTGGATCACAACCTAACTAAAGGGTATTATTTTGTTACAAAATTTATAAACAATTGTACATTTTAGCATACATTTTTATAAATTAATGCAATTATTTACAATTAATCATAAAATTTTACTGTAAGTTGATGCAACATAGTATTTTTCTACATACATGAAAGTTTTTGGAGGTATCCGTAACAGGAAAAAACACCATGCTCCTACAACGTTCTTAATTTTTCGTATATTTTCCACAAACATTGCTATTATTCTCCTTTTATTTAATTTCAAAATAGAAATGCTTATATTGTGAGCAGTTACATATTCTGTGCAGTTGTTTTGTCCTGTTCTCTGTGTGAAACTTCTTAAATGCTTAAAAAACCCCACAGTAATTTCCTAATTTTGGTCCATTTTATCCTGCCAGGTCCCTTGTTTTATTTTGTTTTATTGTAGAGGCAGAGTCAACATGGCTCCACTGGGTTTGTGTCCTTGTTTATACAACAGCATAATTAATAATACCATGAGAAAGACTGAAAGTATCGGAAAAGATACCTTGAGACACTGAATGATCTCAGCTCCCATTGTCTTTGTCCTTGCCATATGAGTGACTTTGAAAAATCTCTTTAACTTAGTGAAATACTGAAAGTAATTTCCTATTCCAAAACCAATGTGACAATGTCTTTAATTACTGCATTAGAAGTCTGTTAAATGCTTTGTGGCTGTATTATATGCAGTATGTATCGGTTACTGCAGTTTTATTAAACTGCGCTTGACTTATGCTGATAAAATAAGGCGTCTTGACAAGTTTGTTTAATTTCAGATTCAGTTAAATACTTGCGAGCATAATTTCACCCTAAAATATTAATTAACAAGTCATTTGAAACAGAATTATGCATGGAACTGACTATGGTTATTGTGTGCAGTCTGAAGGTATGTTGTGACTTTCACACTGTGTACAGGTGTTGGAAATGCCACTGCCTGTGTCCTGCATGAAGTCATCTATGTAACCGGAGGTCACTACGGGTACAGGGGAAGCTGCACCTATGATAAAATCCAGAGATACCATTCAGGTAGCAATGAGTGGAGTATAGTCACCGCAAGTCCCCATCCAGGTAAACAATAATTTCTGTAACGAGCATAGAGCTTGATTTGATTGCTTGTGTCTGGGAGTCTTTAAGCCCACTTAAGAGTTTCTTGCATGTTCCTAATAAAAGGAGCAATGCCTGTAGGGCAGCAAGGGCCAGAGTGGGATCATCTCCCATTTCCAGACTCTGAGAGGGGAAAGGGAAGACCCTCTTCAAGCATCTGTTCTGTAGAAATCACTATATAAATATTGAACTAAGGAATGGTTGCATTCTATTAAATAGCATAGTAAACTAACTTTCTATAAAATCTATCTATTCATAGGCATTTGGCAAAAATAGTTTATATGACTTCTTTTAAAAGGGTTGTCGCTATGTTCTACGTTTGGTAACAGGAAGTTTTTAGAGCAATTCTCACAAAGTACTGGTGCTCATGTCTGTATTTTCTGTAATGCCTTGAGCTTGCTTTTACCAAGTGTAGCAGAAAATCCTGAGGTGTCTCCTAAGCTCAGTGAAGAAACTCAGCCATCCTCAGTGGTGCCCAGTGTTTGTCATGTAGTTGCAGTTTAAGTTAACATTATCATGCTGAGATGAACTGTATTCCTTTCTTCCTGAAGAATACGGATTGTGTTCAATTACATTACAAAACAAGATCTATTTTGTGGGTGGACAGACCACGATCACAGACTGCTATGACCCAGAGCAAAACGAGTGGAAGCAGATGGCTCACATGATGGAGAGAAGGATGGAGTGTGGTGCGGTGGTTATGAACGGATGCATCTATGTAACAGGAGGATATTCATATTCAAAAGGAACGTATCTGCAGAGTATTGAGAAATACATCCCTGAATTGAATAAATGGGAAGCAGTAGGTAATCTTCCCAGCGCTATGCGGTCACACGGCTGTGTATGTGTGTATAACGTGTAAACATTTAATTTTCATATTGCTGTTACAGAAAACAGCAGATGCAGTATTCATAATAGTACTGATTACCTCATGAATGAGATGTCTAATACAGTCTCTTAGCACACATTGTTAAAACGATAGGTATAATTTGTCTTTATTTTAAACAATTCAAAAATGTAAGTGTGGTAACAAGATTTCCATATCTTTTTCAGTCCAATCATTCTTTGTCATGAAAGTTTTCAAATGATTCTCTTATAGTACTTTGTGCAGCTGTATGGGAACTACTATGAAAACCAGATTTGTTTTCATTAATCACTGGGTGGAACTATGATCTGGTGCGAAGGTGAGTAAAGCCAAACAAAATACTCTGCATTTCTCTGGACTGCTGGATTTAAGATGAAATCTCTGATACCCCGAAGGTAGCTATAGAAATGGTTCATTGCCACAAGCTAAGCATGTGGTATATATAGAGCAATATCACTTGGGTAACTAGGTTATCGAATCCAGAAATCATGGGCAGTTGTAGGATCCATCTAATTCTACCTTCAAATGCCAGAGCGGAGAACACAGGCTGGGAATGAGGGAAGAAATGTCATGCGGTAGCCCCAGAGCAGAAGCCACAAGTGTATGTGAGTTCTCCAGGAGAACAGTGCGCTGTAGTACAAGGCAGTTTGAGAAAAGTTCTCACTTTGCCGTTCTCACACTGGCAGGGCCCATCAGAAACAAAAAAAGACTCTGCGTGGCTTTGCAGTGGGCTCTTTGGCTGATGCGCAGGTATTGGTGTGGGGTTTTTTTGTTTGGTTTTTTTTTTTTTTTCCTCAGAGAAAAGCCTTACTGTGGTAACTATTTTAAATCAAATTTAAGATGTGTGTGTGGCGTGGAAGGAGGAAATGAGAGAGACTGGAAAGTTGCTGACATCCCCCTGAGATAAAAACTTCTCTATTTTGTTTAATACCATTCGGTCTTTTCTAAAGTGCTAAACTGTGACTTCAGCAAAGGTGACAGCTGAAGAAACTTGTTAAAGTATGTTATGCATGGAGAAACTGAATGCTAAGCGGTCCACTGGATTTATTTATTATTTCTCTCAAAACGTAATACGAGATCTTAAAATTCTGTCTAGAAAGCAACTTGAGAGGAGCAGGAAGGTCATCGTTTTGTCACCTCTTCACTGGGAGACTCTCGGGGGCAGGCTCCCAGCGCAGCATGGCAGTGCCAGTGCTGGCAGAAAGCAGAATCCGTATGTAGTATTTAAATAGCTGATGTTTTGACCTTGCCATCCCCAGCCTTCTCACCACTACTTGTTCTGCATGCTGCCATGTAGGTAGTAATACAAATGCATTTGACTGAATCGTTATTGCAGTGACTTCTGAGGAGAAAACAAATCCTAAGAGCTTGTATATAGAATCGTAGAATTGTTACAGTTGGAAGAGACTTCAAAGATCATCAAGTCCAACCTTCTACACAATGCCACCGTGCCCACTAAACCCACTAAGCCATGTCTCAAAGCGCCACGTCTAAATGTTTTTTTTAACACCTCCAGGGATGATGACTCCACCACCTCCCTGGGGAGCCTGTTCCAATGCCTAACGACTCTTACAGTGAAGAAATTCTTCCTAATATCCAACCTGAACCTCCCCTGGTGCAACTTGAGGCCGTTTCTGTCTATGTGTATATGTGGAATGTGGGGCTTGTTACTACCGTGGTTCCCTGAGGGAGCAAGGAGCAGCTGTGTTGTCTTTCTGTGCACACGTAAGCTCTCCTCTAACACTGGACTCGCTTGTCAGGGTTCAGCCATGTTCTACAGGGAGGTATAGGCCTTAAAAATACACCCTTTTTTCAGGTTTCATGAAAATTGGTAACAGGACAGATGGGGGAGAGGGAGACTGAAAGGAAGCACATGAGTTATGTGGCAAGTACAAGATGGCAAAGCCTTCCCAGTGCCAAGGAGGTGGTTGTGAGGAGCGTTCCCACTCCTGCCTTTGCTACCCCTCACCCAGTCCCACTTCAGCTGCTGTGGGGCGGTGCGGTCTGATAGCAGTGATCCAAATAAAGAAATGCCTTGCGGAGCAGAGAGGCTCTTTCAGCCCAGATCAGTTCCCCGGGCCAGCTTATCAAATGACTGCAGGAACAGCTGTTAGACATTGGCATGAGAGGCAGGGACAGCACGGGCCTGCCGTAGGGTGTGGTGGGAACTTCCTACACCAGGACTGCCACCTAGAATGAAATCTTGGTTTTATTGGGTTTATTAGATATGATGAAAGGAGTTTTCCAAACACATAAGCCCTGAGTTTATAATATTTCTTGATCATAAGCATTTTCAACATTTTTTTTGTTCTTTCACATTTTTATGCTATTTCTTGCTTGTATTTGACTGCTGGTAGCAGGTGGCGCTCAACTCTGAGCTTTGATGTGAAGTTCTGTGGTGTATATATAGTTCTTGTTTTGATGTCTGTGTCTCACCTTACTATGTCAGAAACTCATGTGTGCGTGGGTTTAGTGTTTTGCTTCATTATCTGTCCCAGGGAGAGCTATTTAAGGATCCAGTGTAATTTGTTTAAAGCCTCTAAACTGTGAAGAGGTGTGAGGAATTGATGCTGTTTGAAATGTGTGGGCTGGGTGAGTGGGCAAACGAAATAAAATTAATTTGTTTCTCCTGGAAATCTCCACAGCTGAGAATTGTTCAAAGGCAGCTGGAGATTTAAAGGACAACATCGCAAGAGCATGAAGGTGATCTTTGTATTGAACAAAACCACAGTGAACTCAACGTATGCGTGTAACTTTTCAGCGCACAGCACATATCCATGAAGCTTTGTCAAAAAAACATAAGCATAGAACAGCTGCTTGTGGCTGACCCTAAGGTTCATTCTGCCCTGTATCCTGTCACCGACAGTTGTTGGTGAAAGGGTGTAGGAACAAGGGAAGGACTGACAAAACCTCCCAGTGTCCACCTGTCCGCTGCTTCTAAACTAGGTGCTTAATGGAACAGACAGCGCTGTTTCAGGGTTGCAGCACAAGCACTGGAAGCCAGTCTGCTTTTTCCCTCTGGGCACCCTGCAGGTGAGCGATACGGTGAGCTGCTTCTTGGCCTCAGCGTAACTGCAAAGTGAAAAAAACCCCTTTGGTTCTTATGTGCTAGGAGAGATGCGCTGATCTGCTGTAAATGAAAGTCAGCAAGATTGCTGCCCAGGGCTTCAGATAAATCCTAATTTTTTAGATATTTTTGAATGCATTAGAATAAATGGAGTGTAGAAGTTCAGAATCGCCATTAAATTTTAACTGGTGCTATTTTTTACAATAACTACAATGCCCTTTTAAATTAGCTCTTGTTCGTAGCACATCCCAAGAAAGTGTGTAGCAATCAGGTCTTGAGCACAGGCACGAATATGAATTCAGTGAGAGTAATGGGGTTTCTGGCTTCTGGTGGGTAACCTGTGCATCCCGCAGGAGGTGGAAAGCTCAGGGCAGGGGATCTTTGTGATGCCATCCAACCATCTGTGTGATACGTTTTTAATAGTGATAGTTGAATGTGAACACTAAATTATTGTGCTATTGGACCTGTATTATGGTAGGCACTGTTTTGCTGTTTCACTTGTAAACTAGAAAATTAATAAATACATAGGTCAAATCAATTGTTGTCAGTGCTATTTATCAAAATTTTTACCTGTGTGATCCCCATGTTTGTAGCAGTATAGATGTCTACAACACATCTATAGTACGTAAGTGAATGTTTGTAGTAGTTAATAAATGTAAATGTAGCATCAGTGTACAAATACAAGCTTTTGAGTTATTTTTTCTGTTAACTGTGCAGAAGCTCGTGAACAAAACCCCTGCGCACCTGGACAGGTGTCCGTGGCAGATGCCATGGCCTGTCAGCGTGTGAGGCACATCGCCACACCAGCCCTTCCCGCTGCTGCCTGTGCGTTCCCTGATGCAAAGAATGAACAGGAACGCATTTCCCCACTTCCATTTCTCTGCTTCCCAGATCGTTCGCGGC